TTTGTTTCATAATCTCTAAATGTTGAAAGGGATTATTAAGTGTTGATTTCTTTGAGGAAAGAGTAAAACAGTATCAAATGTTGTTATTATTATGCTGAGTGTTTCTCTGCCTTCAGTCTGAAAACTTCACTTCCTTAACCCTCAGGGCACATTGCTTGTTCATCACCTTTCATGAGAGAGACCCAGGTTCAATTCCCGGCCAACGCACCTGATGCACGGCCATGGCCTGTCTGTCAGTAGTGGCTTGCACATTGCTATGATGATGAACAGATTTCAGTGGAACTTCCAGACTGAGATGTAGTAAGAAGAAATGCCTGGTGATCTACTTTCAAAAAAACCCATCTGTTGCGCACGGGTCACTGGGGAGCAGCCAACAACAACCTTAATAGTTTGATGGGTGAGTCACTCAATGGCAACACCTCTAAGTCACTCATTGGGTGGTGCCACAGCTGACCTCTGAAGAGCTGAGTCATTCCCAGAAGTCTCTCTGGGGCATCCTAACTCTGCTTTTGTTAAAAGTCCAGGAAAATAAGCACAGAGTTCATGGACTGGATCCATTAATATCAAGGATGGAATTCACGATAATAGTAGTCATTAATAATTCATGAGGCATCAACCTGTGAATCGTAGTAATAACGACGGCCAAAATGTACTGAGACTTCCTATGGGCAGCCACTGACTAAGACTTGATGTGCATTATCTGAACCCTCACAACAACCCCACAGGGTCAGATCCCACTAGCCCAGGTCCGGAACCAGAAGCACAGGAAGGCTAAGCAAGCTACCCAGCCCACACAGCAGGAAGGGGCAGAGCACGAGGTTTCTGGGCTGTGCTGTCCACTTTGCGGTCTCTAACGCCTGTCACCTGGGCTGCCGAGTTTAGTTCACGTGAGACCCCTTGCCACTGCTCAGGAGACCTGATGTCAGGGAGGTTTCCACACACTTCCAAGTGACACACAAGTGTTTTTTCCGTTAGTGAAAATCCTCCTAGAACCATTCTGGTGTAGAAAACCAATCTGCATGTTTTTAATTAAAAAAATATAAAAAACACTTCCAAACTCTTTGAATTAACACTACTATTAACGAAGCTAAGTCGGCATAACCAGCCCCCTAGAAAGACAGAATGCTGTCTTCAAGTCTAAGTGCTTTGTAATCATTACTCTACAAGCTGAAAGGAGACCTTACTTTTTCTCCAAACAGCTAACCAAGCAAAATTACAGGATGCTGGCCAGGAGGCACAGCTTCTGGAGAAACTGCTCCCTACTTCTTTCACTTATGAAAGTACCGGGTCTCCTCAGGGGCCCTGGAAACTCATTATGCCTGTGCAGATGAACAGCAGACTCCAGTAGTAAGAAAGGAGTCTCTGGTGGTGCAGGCAGTTACATGCTGGACTACTAACTGAGAGGTTGGCAGTTCAAACCCATCCAGAGGTACCTCAGAAAAAAAGCCTGGAGATCTGCTTTCAAAAGGTCACAACTTTGAAAACCCTAAGAAGCACAGTTCTACTCTGCAACACACAGGGTTGCCATTAGTCAGAATTGACTCACAGGCACCTAGAAAGTAGTAAGAAAATTTAAGATCCCTGTTGCTAATGAGCACTCTGGATATTTCCAGAAAGTGGCAGTAACACATCCCTATGTCTGCAAAGTTTGCTCACGACAAGGAAGGACCCTTGACTCAAGGGGAAGGAAGGGTGAAGGAAGCTCTGAGCATGTTTATAGACTGAGAGGAATTGGCAGAGAGAACGCCGTAAAAAATGTCAGGAGAGAGGATGGAATTGATAGGAACAGATCTAGGGGCAGGTGAAAGGAGATTTGTTCCAGTTTCCAAGAGTTAGAATTTATACTGGGGAAATAACCAGTCAAGCAGATGGACTGACATAGTGGTTGCAACAATGGGCTCAAACATAGCAATGATTGTGCGGATGGCACAGGACGAGGTACTGTTTTGTTCGGTTGTACTTGGGGTCACTATGAGTCAGAACTGACTCGATGGCACCTAACAACAACATTTCTTTATTAGAGACAAGAAAGCAGATGATGAGTGGGATGATGTGTGAAAATGAGATCTTTTAGGAAGAGAGTAAGACATTTATGTCAGATGGCCTCCATTTTCTCAGAGAAGGAGTGAGGGAGTTGGAGTTTACTGAAGAAGCCTTGAAAACCAAAAAACCAAACCCATTGCCGTCAGAGTAGACCTGTCCCATAGGGTTTCCAAGGCTGTAAATCTTCACGGAAGCTGACTGCCACATCTTTCACCCATGGAGCAGCTGGTGGATTCAAACTGCCGACCTTCTAGTTAGCAGCCAAGTGTTTAACCACTGTGCCACCAGGGTTCCTGAAGAAGGATGAAAAATTTTGGGACAGATTTTCAAGGCAACATGAGGGAAAGTCAATTTGAAAGGCCTTAAAAGGATTACCACATACAAGTGAGGCTGCATCAAACTAAACTGGCATTATTTAATTGAATAATCATAATTGAAGGAGCCCTGGTGGCACAGTGGTTAAGCACTCAGCTGCCAACCCAAATGTCAGTGGTTGGAACCCACCAGCTGCTCCACAGGAGAAAGATGTGGCGGTCTGCTTCCGGAAAGATTACAACCTTGGAAACCGTATGGGGCAGCTCTACTCTGTCCCATAGGGTCGCTTTGTCTTGATGGCAATGGGTTTGGTTTTTTGGGGTTTGGGTAGCGGACTGTCCCTGAGCAGAGGATGGAGTTTACCCCATTGCTACTGACTTGCGTCAGAAATTCAGACAGCCGTCTTCTGATTTGATTCCCAAACTGCAATTAGCTTCCCATGATTCATCTAGGCTCCAGTCATATCAATTGCCACCATTTGCCTGCAAGATAACCCGAGATCCTCAGCACGGCACACAGGCCTTTCACGATCCAGCCCCGACTTATTTCCACAGCATCATTTTTTGCCTTTTGTCCTCGTGAACTAATTGTAGTCCTCCCAAAGCCCTGGGCCCTTTCAATGCTTCTGGGCCTTGGATCACACCAAAACCAATCAGTTGCCTTTGAGTCAGTTCTGACTCATGGTGGCCCCAAGTGTGTTAGAGTAGAACTGTGCTCCATAGGGTTTTCAATGTCTGAGTTTTCAGAAGTAGATTGCCAGGCTTTTCTTCCAAGGCACCTCCAGGTGAACTTGAACTCCCAACCTTTCGGTTAGCAGCTGAGTGCATTACCACCACCCAGGGACTCACAAAACTTCCCTGAAATTCTTTTCTCTCTAATGCCTGAAGAGCAAACAAACATTCATTTTTTTAAGATTACCTCTTCCAAGATTTCCATGATCACTTTAGGTAAAATTGATCACTCATTCTCTCATGCCAACCTATATATGCCCTGTATATATTCCTAATGTCACCAAGCACTTCATATTTCATCATTTCTAAGATGCACATTTTTTTCACATTTTAAAATCTCTGAAATTAGGATGTATCTTATAATCGATGGGATGTCATACTTTAATTGGCAAGATTTTTTATTTCTTGGTGGTACAAATAAAAAGACACATCTTACATTTGTGTCTTTAACCTCTCAAGGCGAGTGTAGACGTGGTTCCCAACTAGAGGTGTCTTCCTTCCCCAAGCCCTACCCCACTGTGGACAGTGAGCAATGTCTAGAAACATTGTTGGTTGTCTCAGTTGGGGTGAGGTGCTACTGGCATCTAGCAGGTAGAGGCCAGGGATGTTGCTAAACCTCCTAGGATGCAGAGGGCAGACTCTCAGAACAAAGAACTATCCACTTCAAACTATCAACAGTGCTGAGGCCGAGAAACCTTGGTGTAGGGTGACAAAATGTATTTGGGTGTAAACGTGCTTTACTATGTTGGATTTTTAATAAATCTTCCACAGTGTATTGTGCAACCTAACATAAAGTAACTTTTTCCAAACCTTGGCTTCTAGAGCAAAAAAGCAATTCTTGAGAAGTGCTCTAAGCTTTCCTCAGCACCCCCTACTCCATATCCTCCACAAGAGGTTTGTACTCTGGTGCAAATGGTTAATGTGCTCACCTGCTAACTGAAAGGTTGGCAATTTACCTCCAAAAAAATCTGCCATGGAAAACCCTGTGGAGTGCAGTTCTATACACACACGCATGCACACACACCGGGCACCATGAGTTGGGATCGACTCTATGGCAACTGGTATGTGCTAGACTCCCACAAGGAACGAATGAAGCAATACTCCAGGTCAAACTTTGGAAGCTAGAAGGTCTCAAAGATGTTTGTGATCTTAAACCCTTTAGGCTAGTTAGTGGCAAAGTCCGAACTAGAAGCCAGACCCCACGTTTTTCACATCCTGCTCAGCCTGGGAGGCAGCTGCTCTGCTGGCCGGTTAAATTGGCTAAAACAGTTTGGTATGTTAAGACGAAAGTGTGCCCTGCCAACATGAGTTGTGTGACTCAGCAGTGGTTTAGTGTTAGTATTCACGCTTCAACACCCGGGCCCAACCCTCCTGTCACCCCACTTTATAAGAATTTAGGCTGACTCTCTAAGGCCCCTAAGCTCTGTGGGGAATTGGATTTATGCAAAAATAACTGTGATTCATGAGCGTAAGGGAACTTTAAATAAATGTAGATGATTTCATCATACAAAAGGCAGAGGGGACTTAATAAGTGCATTTCAGGCTCCCGAGAAAGAGTTTAAATTAATTTGGAAGGCAGCTGGCTGCGTGGCGAGAGAGGACAGCTGTCCTCCTCCCTAGAGCTGCATATGTGGAAAGGGCGTTCAGCTGAAGTAGGAGGCAGGATTTACGTGCAGAGAGGAGATTCAGAGGAAGGTTTTGGCAAGGCCTCCCTGCCTCTCTGTTCCACAGTCAGGTGGGCCCCTCACTAACTGCCAAGTCGCCTGTCACCTCCCCGCCCCTCTGCTTCCTAGGGCTGAAACCCAGCGGGGAGCCCGCGTCTGACCCGCAGCCCCACCCAGTCTCCAACCTGGATCCAGCCCCGCCCTGCGGCGGGACCCGGTGTCCGAGGGCGCCTAATGGTGCACTCACCTTTAGGTGAATGGGAAAGGGCTGTTCCTGCTGCAGGGGGCCCAACAGCGTCTGCTCAACGCTGCCTAGCTCCGAAGTCGACTCCACCACGCGGGCCAGCGCGCTGCGCATGGCCATCCGGCCCAAAGTGCAGGGGCTGCGGGCCCGGGGGAAGGGCAGCAGTTCCGCGCCTCCCTCGGAGTCTCGCACCGCCTCCACTTCTGGGGAGCTCGCCGGCGTCCCGGCGCCCCCAGTCCTGGCCGCTACTGCCCCCTTCTCGCGCCCGGACTCCGCCGGAGCCCGCACCGGGCCTGAGCGACGGGCTGGGGCGGCCGACAAGTGATCCGGGTTGCGCGGGCTCCCAGAGGCTCCCGGACAGTCCCCCCAACCCCCCTCCTGCTGCAACAGCTGCAGGGTCCGCAGAGCCACCATTTAGTGGCTGATGGAGGCCACTAAGGGCGCGGGGCTAGCCATCGCCTCAGCCAGCGGCTCCCCGTGCTGGTGGAGCTGCGGCCGGGGGAGACGGGGGCGCCGGGGGGCGCCGGGGTCACATTTCCCAACCCGTGGCTCCTAGGCCTTCTCGTCTTTCTGGTCTTTCTGTGTGGGTGGCCGGCCCTGCCTCCAGCCCGCGGTCGATGACCAGTGCTGGCCTCTCATTCGCTTCCAGTCCGAATTGCCTTGCTGGGACCCAAAACTGCCTGAAGCGCTGCTCCTGTGCACTGGAAAATCAGCCAAATGCTGAGCACTGTTCTTTCTCTCTAGGGCTTCAATGGGGAAGCAGTCACTTTGTGCGGATGCATGCACCAACGTGATACTCCGCCCCCATCGCCTTTGAAGGGTGCTTTCAAAAACCACCTACGCTGTGGGTGAGGGGTGTAAAAGACCCCTCTGGGAGCGGTAGTGTGAACACACACACACACACACAAAATTAAACTGTGCCTGCTCCTCCTCCTCCGCACCACCCAGCTGAGGGGAATTTTCCGGAACTTCGTGGAGTACCCTTTAAGGCCTCACATCAAACAAAAGAGGGTGGGTTTGTGTGTTTCCAAGTTCTGCTGGCCGATGGCACATTTGCAAAGGAGAGTTTGGCAGTTTAGGTAGCATCAAGGTGCAAGGGGTGCCGCCGGCTCCAGAGCTGACTCTTTCTGGGCACGGCCCCACGCGGAAGCTTAATGGCTTTGTATGAAACTCCCAAAAGATTTAAGGCAGCAATGTTTGAACCTAAATCCTTTTATGCGCTGTGAACAGGGGCAGCTGTACAAATATTTGCCTTTTTTAATTAAACCTAACATTGCAACTTCCTTGAGTTAGGTTAGGAAAAAGGACTTGCAATTTTACGCTTTTATAGTTGGAGAACCACTAGTGTGTGATTACACTTTAAAAAACAAACAAAAAAGGGGACTAGTATGGAGGACTATCCCAGACTGGGGCAGATTAGCCAATAAGCAAGGTAAGCATGTGCTTAGGGCATCAATAAAACAGGGGCACCAGTTATCCAAAGGAAAGACCCATAGATGTCAAGTAGACAGGACACAAGGGGAAAAGTGAGCACTGCAGTGGAAGAGAACTGGCAGGCACTAAATGAAATTGATACCAGCTCCAGTGCCTGAGAATGTACTGGCTAGAAATAAAGTTCATGCAGGAGGCGGGGCCAAGATGGCAAGGAATAGTCAGATACTCCAGGTGGACCCTCTTACAACAAAGACCTGAAAAAACAAGTGATTCGATTATATATGGCAATCTGGGAGCCCTGAACATCAAAGGCAGAGTTGAGGAACCAGACTGAGTGGCAGAAGGAGGAAAAGACAGTTCGGAAGCAGAGAGGAGTTGCCAGACCTGACCCAGCGAGAACCTGAGCCCTTGAGGCCTGAGCAGTTCATGGGTGAGCAGTGAGGCAGGCAAGCAGCTATGCTCCAGGTGTGTGTTTTCCACACCAGGAGAGACCCAGCACCAGAGAGTCTACAAGGACACCCAGAACCAGTGAGAAGCAGCCCTCCACAGAAGATAAGTACTTGCATACCGCCTACCACGCGGATCAAAAACACCCCCTTTAGGGAAAAACCTCTCACCCGTTTACCTCTCCACTCCCTGCTCTGCACTGGGTCCTGGACCGGCTTCAGCAATTGCCGAGTCCCCTGGGCCAGAAGGAGGATCCATCACATGCCCGGAGCCAATCTCCCTGCCTTGGAGAGTGAACAAATTAACAAATAGGGAAAAAAATTAACCACCAGCTCCCCTAAGCCAGGAACCAAGGGTAGGCACAGCTCCTTTGCCTAGGCACAAGCATAAGGGATATCCACAGACTTTGAGTGCCTTTTCCCCACCATAGACTTCTGTGGGCCCATCTCAACAGCGCAGGCCCTCATTACTGCAGTACAATAGGGTATATACCAGAACTCTAACTTCAACTGTTTCAGCTGTGAAGTGGCAGATTCTTGACACTTGACACTGCTCTTCCCATTAAGCAGGGTCTTCACCTACCCACATCAGGGGCCTGAGGACTGGTGGCTCCACCCATGCCACCTAGCCACCTGCTATAGGGGCCTATGAATAAGAGATGCCCCCCATTCCTTATAGCCAACAGCATTAGCTGCTCATAGTCTGGCTGCAAACCCACCCACCTACGCACTCTAGGGAACAAGGACATGCCTTCCTCCTGGAAACTCAGGGGGTGGCCGTCAGCCCCCTGCCTTGCTCAGAGTGTGTACCCCTGCTGCAGCCAGATGCCTGTTCCTACACCAATCACCCATGCCTGTCTAGGACTGTAAGTGAGAGCCTTCACCACACACTTGGTGGCTATCTATCTGGGCACCTGAGCTGAATCCATACAGGAGGGGTAGGTGGACTCCTGAGCTCACATACCTAGGAACAGATCTAACACCTGGTGACATGACATTAGAGCTTCAAAGAAGCCAATAATCAAACTAGCTCATACAAACAGCCTATTTGGGCATATCAAAACAAAACAAGAAGCTAGGACACAGTAAGCAAACACAAAATAAATAAATATAATAACTTACTGATGGCTCAGAGACAACAGTCAATATCAAATCACATAAAGAGACCATCCATGATGGCTTCAGCAAGCTCCCAAAATAAAGGATCTAGAAATTTTGCAGAGGAGGAAAATTTCTTGGAATTACCAGAGGCAGAATACAAAAGATTAATATACAGAACTCTTCAAGAAATTAGGAAGGAAATTAAGCAAAACACAGAACACACGATAGAGGAAATTAAAAAGATTAGAGAAGAGCATAATGACAAATTAAACAGGCTACAAGAATCCATAGAAAGACAGCAATCAGAAATCCAGAAGATTAACAATAAAATTTCAGAATTAGACAACTCAATGGAAAGTCATAGGAGGAGAATTGAGGCAATGGAAATCAGAATTAGTGAGAATGAAGATAAAGCACTTGACAGCAACTTATTTGAGGAAAATCAGATAAAAGGATTTAAAAAAATGAAGAAACCCTAAGAATTATGTGGGACTCTATCAAGAGGAATAACCTACAAGTGACTGGAGTGCCAGAACGGGAGGGGGGGAATAACAGAAAATACAGAGAATTGTTGAAGATTTGTTGGCAGAAAATGTTCCTGATATCATGAAAGATCACAAAATATCTATTCAAGATTCTCATTGAACCCCACATAAGGTAGACCTCAAAAGGAAGTCGCCAAGACATATTATAATCAAACTTGCCAAAACCAAAGATAAAGAGAGAATTTTAAGAGCAGCTAGGGAGAAGTGAAAAGTCATCTACAAAGGAGAGTCAATAAGAATACGCTCAGACTACTCAGCAGAAACCACATAGGCAAGAAGGCAATGGGATGACTTATATAAAGCCTTGAAGGAAAAAAACTGCGAGCCAAGAATTATATGTCCAGCAAAACTGTCTCTCAAATATGATGGCAAAATTAGGGCATTTCCAGATAAACAAGTTTCGGGAATTTGCAAACACCAAACCAAAATTATAAGAAATACTAAAGGGAGTTCTCCCGTTAAAAAATCAGTAACATCAGATAACCACCCAAGACTAGAACACAGGACAGAGCAACCAGATATCAACCCAGATAGGAAAGTCACAAAAGTAAATCAAAGCTAAAACACTGAAAATAGGGAAACATATGTCAATATGTAAAAGATGACAACATTAAAACAAAGAAGAGGGACATAAAAACTGTAGACATAGATTTTTCATATGGAGAGGAAGTCAAGGCGAAATAAAGACATAAAAGATTGGTATAAACTTAGAAAAATAGGGGTAAATATTAAGGTAACCACAAAAGAAACTAACAATGCTACAAGCCAAAATAAAAAACTAGAAAAATATAAAGACTCAGCAAACACAAAATCAACAACAATGAACATGGTGAAAAGAAAATACATAAAGAAAAACGACTCAGCACAGAAAATTAAGTGGAACAAGGAAACTGTGAACAACACACAAAAAAAGACATCAAAACAACAGCACTAAACTCATACCTATCAATAATTATGCTGAATGCAAATGGACTAAATGCACCAATAAAGAGAGAGTGGCAGATTGGATTAAAAAACACAGTTCGTCTATATGCTGCCTACAAGAGACACACCTTAAACTTAAAGACACAAACAAACTAAAACTCAAAGGATGGGAAGAGATATATCAAGCAAACAACACTCAAAAAAGAGCAGGAGTTGCAATATTAATCTCTGACAAAATAGACTTTAAAGTAAAATCCATCACAAAGGATAAGGAAGAACACTATAATGATTAAAGGGTCAATACACCAGGAGAACATAACCATAACAAATATTTACTCAACAGGGCTCCAAAATACATAAAATAAACTCTAGCAGCATTGAAAAGAGAGATAGACAGCTCCACAATCATAGTAGTAGACTTCAACGTACCACTTTCAGTGAAGCACGGAACATTCAGAAAGAAGCTCAATAAAGACACAGAACATCTAAATGCCACAATCAACCAACTTGATCTCATAGACATACAGCAAACACTCCACCCAACAGCAGCCAAATATACTTTCTTTTCCAACGCACATGGAACATTCTCCAGAATAGACCACATATTAGGCCATAAAGCAAGCCTTAACAAAATCCAAAACATTTAAATATTACAAAGCATCTTTTCTGATCATAAAGCCATAAAAGTAGAAGTCAACAGCAGAAAAAGCAAGGAAAAAAAATCAAACACATGGAAACAGAACAACACCTTTCTCAAAAACTACTGGGTTATAGAAGAAATTAAGGATGGAATAAAGAAATTCATAGAATCAAACGAGAATGAAAACACATCCTACCAGAACCTTGGGACACAGCTGCTCAGAGGTCAGTTTATAGCAATAAACGCACTCATCCAAAAAGAAGAAAGAGCTATAATCAAAACATTAACCCTACAACTAGAACAAGTAGAAAGAGAGCAGCAAAAGAAGGCCCTCAGGGGCCAGAAGAAAGGAAATAATAAGAATTA